CTGACTGCTTTTTAGTTAAGTCCTAAAGCAGATATCACCTCCTTAGTGCTTGCAGCATGCCCCAGCTGAAAATGTCCCTGCAACAGTACTGTGGGAATGCACAGGATGGGGCCAGTGGGGTCACAATGCACCAGAGAGCTTGGGATGAGGGCTGTGGACCCAACCCGGTCTGCAGCGGTTGCCTTGGCAATGGCAGCGCTGTGCTGTGGAGCCAGCAAAATGTCAGAGCCTCTGTAAAGCGAGTTCTGCCACACTGGACTCTGCCTTGTGCAGAACTGCCTCCTCACCGAGCCTTTGGTGTCCCGTCCTCCCCTCCCTCGCTCCAAGGTGCAGCCCCCAGGCACCCCCTAAGGCACCAGCTGCTCGTTTTCCCATCCTTGCCTGAAGCCATGGCTGCATGTGCAGGAGAAAAGGAATCTTGTTCAAGAAAAGGAATTTTGTTCACCTCCCAGGATACACAGCTGGGCTGCTGCAAGAGCCACCACTGCTCAAGTACATCACCTTTCTGCAGCCACAGCATTTCTAACCTGGGACCCAAAGGCATTCTAAGCAGACATTCAGGGGAAAGTGTGGGCAGGTGCACTGCTGTTCACGCTCCCTGTTGTGCCACCCCTGCTCAGTGCTCAGAGGGAGAGACCCCCCTGCCCTCCAAGGGCCGGCCGCCTCCAGGAGCCCATGAAGCCAAAGACAGGCTGCAGCAGACAGACACTGCCCAAATGGGCTCAGGGGAGAGAAAAAGAGCAACTCAGAGGCAGAAATTAAGAGATACAGATCCACAGTCCTCAGACCTCGGCATAAAACCTCTCCCGCTGTGTTGGGATGGCGGTCAGCAGAGTTAACCTTCCACTCTAATCACAGTCATTAAATTCCTGCTAACGCCCCTGTCCGGTGTCTGTCCCAACAGCTCTGTTATCTGTCACCTCCCCACATGGTATGCAGGCTCCCCACGGCCGCAGCTCTCATTAATGCTGCTCTGGCTGGCTGATGAGGCAAGTGGCAGCCGGCTCCCAAGCCCAGATGAGTTTTGTAGACAGCAGGGAATGTTTATCCAACATGGAAGGGATGTAAGTACAAACAAAGAGGGACCACACAATTACTCAGGCATTGCACAGGGCCAGTCTCATTAGACGGTCTCCCTGACAGGAATTAATCTGAAGTGACAACCCAGGGAGCAATTTAGCAAATAGGTCTGGGGCCTGGCCCAGTGCAAATTTCAGGGAGACCCCTGAAATTTGTCTGGCATGTAGACTCAGCCTGCTCTGAGGAGGGGAAAGCCAGGAATATATAAAGCTGGCCCAGTTCTGGCCTGAGCCTGTGCATGAGAAGGTTCAGAGGAGACAGCAGCCTCAGGTCGCCTTGAGGGGAACAATGAAGATTAAACTTTCCTGCTGCACCAAGAGCTTCTCCTTCCTCTTTCTCTTGCAGCCTCAGGTCACAGATGGGTTCCAGCTCATTAAGTGCACAGTTTTTCTGCCACAAAAATCCCCCAAAACCATAACCACCAGCCCAACTTAGATCTTTCCTCCATGATGCAACCTGCTTGCAGTATTAGATGGCTTTTCATTTCTCTTTAATGTTAGAGCAGAGCCCTGGGATGGGGATAAAATACATAGAGAGAAACAAGCAACTTAAAAGGCTTTTTATTTTTTAAGCAAAGATCTGGTTTGGGGAGGCTGCTTTGAATCCCCAAGCAACGAAAATAATTTTCAGTTGGAAGGCAGTACTTCAGAGCCTTTTTTACACTGCAAGAATACATGGAAGAAAAAAAAGTTGACCAAACAAATAGCCCTAAAGCCTTGTGGCATCTGCCCACAACCAAACCACTCAAGGCTGTGACCTCATGGGGGTCCCTGGGTAAGGTGGAGCAAGGTGGTTGGCATTTGGATCAGTTGCCTTGCAGCAAGAAGGAAAAAACACCCAAGCTGTCAGGACAGATGACTGTGAGGCTCCTGCTGTTCTTCACTGGGCACGTTTTCCCCTCTGAATTGTCATCAGCAATGCCACTGCCTAAGCCCACCTGAACTGTACCCTCCAGTAAATTACAGTCTCTCTGCTGGGACATAGAGTAGAGGCTTCACAAGAAGCTTTCTCCAAGTTGCTATCATATGCACTTTCCTGGGTCAGTGGCGCCAAGCTGTCAGGCTGCTTATATGGTTTTAATCAAAAGTTAATTCTTATTCTGCTGGCACTGGGGCGTCTGTTGTGCCACTCAGCCTGCTGTGCAGCCCTGGGAACAATCAGCTCTGGTGGAAGGGCATCTGCCCATCTTGCTGGGAGGCCCCACACATTGCTTAGGAAACCAAATTCCCCCAGACTGCTTGCAATCCCCCCAGTAATGCCCTAGGAAGCTTCTGAACAGGAAGAATTGGAGGAGGCATGGCGCCAGCCAATTAATAAGCAGCACTCTGACTCTCACCCAGCCCCAATTTCAGCAGCTGCAGCAAGCAAATTTAATTCAAGCGTTCCCAGGTGCCTTGCAAAGCATCCTGCTACTTGGGCATCTTCACATTACATATGCCAAGAGCTCATTGAGCAAGCCAGGGAGTGTGAAATGAAAACCAGCAAACTAAATTGCAACCAGTGGGCATCCCAGCAGGTTGCCTTTTGGATTCCAGCTCAGTAAGAGTTAATTCTCCTCTTTTCATCCCCTCTTCCCCCTGACAGCCCCTTACTAACCCAAGATTGCAGGCTGCCACTTTCATTCATCCTGAAGAGCCCTTGCCATGACCACTGGGGCTGCGGAACTCCAGGGACTGGGGGAGAAAGTGGGCTGGGCTGGCTGGGTGAGCTTTCCCCAGCTTGATGTTAGCAATAAATGACTTGTGTCTGGCCACGTGTAAGGCCTGTTTCACCTAAGGAGAATATTCCACTCCAATCCGAGCTCTCTAGGAGGATTTTTGTGCCACCACAGCTGGTGCCTGGAAAGCCAGCATGTCCAGTGAGGAGTGTGCATGGGCAAACAGCAGCTCCACACTCAGGCAGATAAATCCCTTTTCTTAAGAGCTCTCCAGTCAGTAACACTTTTAGGCTTTTGGACTTTTCAGTTATATTCACTAAGACGTTTTGCAGTCCAACAATGGAACAGAAGGGTGGATTACTTAGTCCAGGGGCCCCAGCACAGAATAAGATGTGATAAAGCAGCAGAATCTGCAGGACATGGGAGAGGGTGATCGAGCAAGGGAAGGAGTGAAAGGTCAGAAGGTGGCACAAGGCTGCTTGGAGCCCAAGTGAGATGTCACAATGAAAACACCAGGAAGTCAGCACATGAACAGAGGGAAGCAGCAGGCTGGATGTGAGAGGGGATGTGATCCTCTGGGACAAAGAGATGAAAAGGACTCCATAAGACCTCAGTATGGCTCATGGAGGTGGAGACCTCACCACGAAATGCAAGTGTTTTCATTGGAGAAAAGCCAGGAGGAGGCAATACCATGAAAACCTTTTCCAATGTGTCTTAGTTTCAGCCAGGGAAGGGTTCATTTTTTACAGCAGTATCACAACAAAGTGTTTCCTTCTTGTGCTTGGCGGAAGTGGGATCAAAGCTTCCCTCTCTCCTCCTCTCTCTGCCTTTCCTTTTTCAGTCCCAGAACACCAGGATGACACCTGTAGCCATTTCTAAGAGCTTTCCCATACACATGACTGGGCTACAGCTGAGCCTCAATATCATGCTCCTCTAAAACACAACACTCAGCAGTCACAGCTACATCGTGATGCTGCAAAGCAGTAACAGCATTAACCAGTGGGGTATGAACCAAACTGGGTGTGTGTTTAGATTTGCACGGCGCTCAGCTCCCTCCATGTCGTAACTCAAATCAGAAAAGTGATTTTCCCTTCTCTTGATCCCTTTTAGTAGGAACTCAAAGAAGGACAGAACCAAGATTACTTTTAGACACTGTGCAAAAAGGAAAAAAACCTCAACTTACTGGAGAAGGATAAAACTGACAAATTTGTTCATTGAGTTGCAGTGCTGATAATAGCAAAACTTGGCTCAGAGGGAAGATCTGCTATGACAAACTGCCTTCATTATTAGAGGCTCCCCTGGGTCCTGTATTATTATTAAGTACTGACAACGTGCTCCATACGGTGTGAGTAACAAACAAAGGCTGTCCCACCCCAGAGAGCTCACAATCAAATGGAGACATAAAACTGGAGCCTACTGTGCAGAACTAGAGGAAAGAGACACTTGAATCTTTTTAATTATTTTGTTTTCTATCTACAGTAAACAAAATTTTCCTTGCAAAATGCATTTGCTTCTCAGCTACCAGTGAATGGTATGAACCACCAATTTCATGTGTCCCCATTTCTCAAAAATGTTGAATGTGGGCGCTTTGCTGGGCGTGGATGAAAGCACCTGGCAAGCCTGCTAAGATAATGTGCTCTTTAAAAACATCAAACTCTTTTCCCTAACCTTCTCCAACCAGTGATGTCTTCAGATTTCACTCAGTTCTCTACCCCAGCCCCCAACCCCCAGTATGATTTTCCTTCAAACTCAGAAACCTTGAAACCCACTTCTCTTCCCCTGCAGAGTTCATACAGTCCAAATAGCTTAGTTAGTGTGACAGGATGAAAGCCCTTCTGCAACACAAACAGCCATTGACTTTTTCCTGCAGTTCCTGCCTGGAGAGCTCTTCAGTTTATTCCCTTTTTTCCATACGAGTGAGGAGGATGGAATTCCACTCATTTGAATCTTTGGCCTATAAAATCTACACCACCAACTAATGACTATAAGGCATTGTTCCCACTGAAACCCCATTCAAAACACTGAGCATGAACAGCCCAATTGGGGCCACTGGGCTTTGAAAGACCTCAACTGTACCCAGCCCCAGAGGTAAAAGTGAACACTGAGTTGTGCACTTGGCCTGTCTCTTCCATTCAGTGGGGAAGGTGCAAGACCACCAGGATCTGCCAATTTCATTACTTTCAGCTCTTAATCAGCAAAAAAACATTGGTGTAATTGCCTCCTGAAAGGCCACATGCTGGGGCTGCAGGAGAGCAGACCTTACCTGCCGGACTTCCAGGCGGTACTTGAGGATGGGATCCACAGCATCAGGCTCCTTCTGGGTCCACTGCAAGACGTAAGAATAATTCTTGGATTGCCTCTGGCTCAAGGTGGGGTTGGGAGTGTCATAGTAAAACTCTGGGCTATAAGCTTTTGCTGGAGGGGAAAAAAGAAAAAAGAGGGAGGCAAGTAAAAGAGTGGGTCAAGGGGAACAGAAATTACAAAGAGACGTGGTGAGAGTGGAAGAGCTCCACGCACCCAGCTTATCGACCTGCCTCTAACACAATGGACACCTTCACTTTGCACAAATGTGCCACCGTTTTCTGTGAATCACTACTGCTTTCAGAGCCTAAACTGCTGGGAGGATTAGCAGCCCTGCCACACCAGTGGGACATGACCAGCACCTGAGAAGGTGGGAACAACTCCAGTTCTCCAGCTGGAACCAGCTCTAATCTTTTCTCTCTTGCTTTGTAGTTTAGATTGAAGTAACAGCTTTAAACTGGCATTTCTCCCGTTTCATCTGCTGCTTTACAGAGACTCCTGCTAACAAACCCTGAGGAAAGATCATTTGGCCAGTAGGTCATAGGAAAAGTGTTATTTATCACACAGAGACCATAGCATTAAAAAGGAGACCTTGCTCCTTCTGCATCTCCCCTGCCTTGGCAACACAGCGCTCCAGCCTCTTTGTAACACAACAGTCAACTCGGCAGCAAAGAGGACACTGACCTCAGCCTGGGTAAAAGCAGTGGGAGCTTTGGCAGGGGCGGAGATGTCTTTTTCAAACCCATGTCTCTCCTTAAAAACAAAGTGCAGCTGGAGAAGGGAAACACAGAAGGAAAGAAGTACCAGAGAGAAAATGAGCAGTTCAGAGAAGAAGGGAGTACCTGTCATTTGCCCAGCAGTTTCTGTCCTGAATCACAACCAAACAGAATGTGAAGGCTCCTGCCATGCAGCCCAGCAGCTGGAGGACTAATGCACAGGGAGCACAGGTCTTACCCACAACTGGTTTTGCCCTATTTGAAATCACGATCATTTCACCCAGTGAACTTCAATTTTTGCCAGGTCCTGTCCTGAGCCAGGCAGGAGTTGGACCTGAATGAAAGCTCAAGTGTCTGGGTTTGGGTCCAGTGTGAACCAGCAGAGACCAGAAAGAAGTCTGGGTAACAAGGGATGCTGGAGAGCAGAACAGGAATAAACACCATCTCCTCAGGATGTCTGCTGCACCCTTCCACTTGAATCACCGGCCCTGCCATTCTGTGTGGTTAAAATTAGGCTGGACAGGATTCAACGTTTATTTTTTATGAACTCAGATGTATAATATTGATATTTATTTCTGAGTCCTTTTTCTCTTATTATTTTTATTGACTTGAATTTTTGCGCAAGCAAGAAGTTCAGAACCACCTCAGAGACTAATTGCTGCTTATTCAACTTGTATTGACTATGGAAGTCAAGCTTTATAATGGATTTCGGAATAAAATCAGAACTGATTATAATGATCATCTTGCATGATATTAATTCATTATTAATTGATTACAAGATAGAAATAGAAGTTAGAAAAAACAGGTGTTTTTTGATAGAATTGCTGCATATCAAAATATTTACAGAACTTCCTTCTGGAAGCTTTTACTACTGCTGGAAACTTTTGTCTTTTGCTTACAGCTGATGGGAAAAGCTGAAGATTATCCATGTCTCTCTTTGAGGCTGTTCTGTGCTTCTGGCCAGTGAGGGAGCACATGATGAACAGCAGGGGCTGCCCTGATAACTTCCTCAAGAGGAATGGGTTGGATGTTTCACTATCCTTCCAAAACATTTTGGAAAGCTAATAACTCATCCATAGAATAAAATAATCCTATCCTGGTCATACATGTTCTGTATTTTCAGTGCACCTGAACACCCCACAGTCAAAAATTAGTCACTTTCTGTCACATAGGAAGGTTTTTAGTATTTTTTTCCACAGAGAAGAAATAAAACCAAAAAGAGACCATGCCACTTTCTCTGCTCAAATAGGAAGGCTGTGGCTGATGGGAATTAAAACTCCAGCAATCCTGAGTCCAAGTAGAGCAGTCTAGTCACTGGAATATTTTTCAGGTTGCTCTACAGGCTCAGAAGCCCTAATTAATTTGTAACTGTCCAGGACACAGGCAGAGATGTCTGGAGTTGAACAGCTACAATCAGATATCAATGCCTTGGAAAAGGAGAAGGGATGCAGGAAAAATAAAGGCTTGCTGCTTTCCTGATCAGTGTCTCTATGCGTGAATCCTGCTTTCTGCTGAGGGGATCTTATCTGAGGCACAGCATGGCACACGGGGTGCCAATGAGTGTGTGTTGCTGCCACCAGCAAGAAATTCCTGGGAGCGTTCCCAGGCTTGACAGGGATGCAGTTTTCTGTGATGGCTCATAGAGGGATTTGGTTTGCTATCACTTAGTGATGTGAGAGTTACAAGCATATGAAAACGGTAGAGAGGGAAGGGGCCAAAGCTTTCAAGCAAAACTCACTGCAAGACAAATGCCAGGAAATCTTAAGGGGTGAGAGCAAGGTCCTGAAAAGCGACCCAAATAGTACAAGTAGTTTGGGTTCCCCCATTTCTGTAAGCATCCCAGAATTACAGCATACCTGAGCTTTCCCAAACCCTAGGAAAAGCCTGCTTCAAAATCAGGCCTCTTTGGATGTCACTCATTCTCAATTTTTTCAACCCAGGCTTGAAAAGTACTATAAATTGGCCCTGGACTCAAACCTGAGTATTTGGACTGAATTTATTGCTTATTAAGGCAACTTCATGGGAGAGCTCTTCTAGAAAATTGTGCCCAAGTCAGTTGTGGGGTCATGGGAAAAGCAGATTTAATGATCAGCTGGAGAGGCCGGGTCAGATGTGCAGTTTTAGATGCTATAAGTCTGCCATCCCTCTGTGCAGATGCAGGTGCTGCAAAGGAGCCCTGTTACAGGGGATGATGGATTCAAAGAAAATTGTGAGCAGCAAATCTACTGTGTACTACTGACCATTCCCAGCTCATGTTTTTTCTAGAAAGCACTGTATGACACAAATAGACAGGAGTCATAGGGAAGGCATGGGAATACATAATACAGGTTTTGTTTCTTTCTTTTCGTTTCTTTCCTTGCTTTTAAAGAGGAAATCACATGGTTTGAAGCCTCTTGGAGGGATGTACAGAGCTTTTCACTTCCCCTTCGTCAATACTTATCAATGATAGAGGTTGTCCAAGCTTCAAAGTTGATTGTGGCCTTGAGTTTAAGTCCTGTAAGTGGTCAAACACTGCTAAAATCTAACAGGGGTGAGCACTTAGTTGTTCCAGGTGCATCTGCCTGAATGATGAAGACAGATCTCCCTGCTGGCTTCTGGAAAATTATTCCTCTTGAACAGAATGCTGGGCACACAGGAAGCAATAGAGGCATTGTAGTGGCACCAGTTTATGAGGAGCAAGCTTCCCATGACTGTGGTATTCACATTCTCTGAACAGAGGGAGACATAATTCTCTCTCCCAGGATTTTTCCTGGGAAAGGCAGTGAGAAGCTCAGAGAAGAAAACAATTCTTTTCTCTACTTGCTGCTCCTGTTGTTTGGCATGTAGAATGTGTTAAGGAGATTGTTTACTGAAGGTGATGGTTTGGATTGATTGGCCAGTTAGGTCAAAGCTGTGTCGTGGCTGTCTCTAGACAGTCACGGGGTTTTCTTGAGAATCTCTTTAGCATAGTTATAGTATAGTATTAATGTAATATAATATAGCTTAATAACGCAATTGTTCAGCCTCCTGAATCATGGAGCCAGAGCACATTATTCCCTGGCTGGGGGTTCCCTGCATCGATACCTGACCCCATCCAACAGCTTGCTCTGATGTGCATCCTGTGACTTACCAGACACCTGGAAGAGGCAGGTGGAGACCCCCACGTCGTTGGAGATGCTGCACTCGTAGTTCCCGCTGGTCTCCCGGCTGACGCTGTCCACCCTGAGCTCCGAGTAGTCCTGCTGCTCTGCCAGGGGCTGCGCCAGGAGGCTCCCGTTGAAGCGCCAGACGGAGGTGGCCACCTTCATGGGGCTGCCCTTGAGCATGGTGCAGCGCAGCGTGACGCCGTGCCCCATGCCCTGCCGCACGTCCTGGAAGGCCGGCTCCACCACGGGCGGGACTGGAGACCCAACAGAGCAACACACAGGGATGCATCAGGGATCAGCTGCCTCACCCAGCACCGTCACCCTGAGCACCTCTGACAAGATAGGTACCCGTGATTTACAAGGGGTTGGAGCCAGGATCCATCACACCAAAAGCAATAGTTGTCTGACATTCCCTTCTGACTGGGCTAGGGCCACATTCTACCTCTCTCCCACTTATGAGGCAGGGTAACCTTTAGCAGCAAGCACTCATCCCACACTGAGTGCTGCTTGGAGGAGCTACCAAGCTCTGCTCTCTCATGTGAGAAGTGTTGCACCAGCAGCTGTATCACAGCTTGGATTCAATCCTCAGATCTAATCAGAACGACTGGTCCTGTAATACAGCACAAAATGCACTCCCTGAGCAGACAGGTAAGTTCCCAAGCAGTCATTTCTTCTTGTCAATATTTGGCAGGGTTATCAAGGACACTGTGTTTAGATGGAGGGATCTGCACCGGCTCTCCCCACGGACCTGAAAAGGTTTTGGAGGGCCCCTCCCAAGTACATCAATACAACACATCACAGACTGGCTACAGGGACTCTGGGTCCTATTTTTATCTCTAGCAACAATTCCCTGATGTTGGGAGGTAAGTCACATCTACCCATGTCAGCTTCTCTGCCAGTAGTGTGAGAATGGGAATGGTGATGTGTGCTCACCTCCTCAGCAAAGGGAGACTACTATGTCTTTTGCAGTTTTTTAGCACTTGTAAAAATTTATGGGAACCTCATGATTTGGGCATGGTTGAGGTACAGCAAGGAGAAAGTCGGATTGGTACTGTTTGGGTAATTCCTTATTTAACGCAATGAGAGAGGACATAAATCCCCACTGTCTCTGATAGACATGTTTCACTTGCAATAAACTCTTAATTAAAACATTAAAGTGTGGGAATAAACAGAAGCTCTCCATCTAAAATGAGAAAAGCGTCCTGAACACAAAACAGCTGTTAGCCTGTATGTAAGAGGGAGAACTGATTTATAGCAGTTTCAGCACAATCACAGCTGACCTTCTCCAGGTTCAAAGCAAGTGCTCTTCCACAGTTTCTATGCCCTAGAGATCCACAGAGCATCTGCCTCCTCTAAAGGTCCACAGACTTGCCAAGCACAGCCCGGCCCAAAAACATGCAACACCCAGCATCTGCAGTGCCCCAGACACGGGTGCACCAACAACCATGGGTCCCTCTGCATCCCTGCTGCCCTGAACAGAGCTGTGCTGGGAAGGGCTTCAGCACACCAGCCTCCTCCCATAGCCTGACCCCAGCAAGTCCCAACAGCTCTGTGACACCAGTGACATCTCTATCTTCACCACAGATGAAGGTGCTGCATGCACTGTCCCACACGTGGGCACGCACTGTCCCATCTCCAGGGGGCACAAATGCACCTGTGGGTATCCTGTGTGCAACCATCCCCATCATGCCCTCCACCTGTCAGCCTTTGTTTGACGTGGCTGATTGCCTTCCAGGTACCCTGTTCTCAGCTCTGTCTTTGGGCCCTTTGCTGTGCTTAGGTGGATTAAAAGCAGCCCTGCCTGAGCTGGGGCTGCCGTGCTGAGCGGCACGGTCAGCTCATTAGGGATGGCTTTCCTGGGGATGTGTCTCTGCCAGTGCTTCGAGTGCTGACTTGCCTTTGGCTCTCACGTCTCCTACCTCACAGTGAGAATAATGTGAGAAGTTGTTTGATTAGACCTAGTGCCGTGCATGTATCATCTCCATCCCTAGCTGCTATCCCATTTCTTCAGTCACATCTGATCCTTAATTGAAGCCAGTGGGGTCTCACATTATAATCTAGGCCAGCTGGTGATATAGGGAAAAGAAAGAGAAAAAGGGGAGAGAAGAGAAGAGAAGAGAAGAGAAGAGAAGAGAAGAGAAGAGAAGAGAAGAGAAGAGAAGAGAAGAGAAGAGAAGAGAAGAGAAGAGAAGAGAAAAAAGAAGGCTCAAAAAATGGCACAGACACTTCAGATGTACTCAGAGCAGTCTATCTCCTGAGGAGGAGAGAGAGGGGTTGGAAAGCAGCTTCCCTCACTGAATCTAACTGTGCCAGGTCTGGGGCTGGGACAGAGGACAAGGTCTGAAACTGGACAAAGTCCCTGCAAAGACATGCTGCAAGGAAAGTGCCCTCCTGGGCCTCAATGTGGGAGTGTCTGGGCTGGCAAAGGGTCACAGAGGAACAGGGCTGGGATGCTCCAGAGCTTCCTTAGGTCACTGGAACACCAGGGCAGCCAAGGATGCAGAAGATATTTAGTCTTCTTCAGCTGGAAAACGGGATTTACTTGATTTGCACTGGGACAGGCTCCAGGACTATGTTGCCATCTTGCAAAGAGTGTCTATCAATTAAAAATTGATTATATTTTCTCCTCTTGTCTCTTGCACTAGAAAACACACAATGAATATTAACTCTTCAGGTAGTCCTGGAGTTCCTGGGTTTTCTGGAGAGAGAACTGAAGCAGGTTATCCCATCACTACAAAGTATAGAGAACTACACCAGGGGTCAGTTATTCCCCAAGGTTCCCAATGGATATGAAAACAAAGGAAGGTCAACAGCAATTGCAGAGCCAGACATCAGCTCTGGCCTCCAATGCCTACTGGGGAGCTCACACTTGTTCAAGGAGGTTAAACACAAAAGGCAGATTCACCACAAAGGCAGGGATTCAGTCCATAAAACCTGACTGCTAACAACACAGCCTTTTCTGTTTCTGCTCTTTTCCTCTGGCTTAAAGGCAAAGGAAAGCTTGTTTAAATGAGCTGGTGCTGCTACTCCCCAGAACTGGGAACTGAACAGCTCCAGTACCCCTGACATGGGGGGCTGTCTTGGAGAAGAGACCTGTGACATCAGCCCTGCACAGACACCTTTAGGGAGCTGCAAAGAGGATAATGATTTTCAAGGTGCTTCTTACACTCACAGGGAAGCAGCATTTCTGCTGGCTATAAGGAAGTTGTATTTGGCTGTTCTGGCTTGCTAAGCTGCTATGATGCTCTTTAAGTTTTTAGGCCAGTTCCAAAGGTGAGTCCTCATCCAGAGGCTCCTCAAATGCCTTCCTGTATCTCCCTTGAAATCCAGCACCGGTATCAGAAGTGCACTTTTAAGTAGCTTCCACATGGCAGGCAGCAAGTTGCTAGGCTTCCAGAAGGTAAAAAAAACCCTCTGTGCACATAGAGAACTTCAGGATAGCTTGGCAAGAAACACAGCAAACAATTATAGACAATTACTGTTCTCTCTCAGCACACAGCTTAACTCTAGAAGAGCTTGCTGGCAACAGCAGTGATGAAAGGGGTAAAGAGGCAGTGTTGAAGTGAGGGTCCTTCACCAGCCTTGTTGAGATGCTGCTGCTGCAGAACACAAGGCAGGATGCTCTGTCTTTGCAGCAGAATTAGCTGGTTAGGAGCAATTCCAGTGAGCCAAACACAGGCAGCCTACTCCAGGCACCCTAAAGCAAAGCTGGGCTGCAGGCAGCTCCTCCTGTGAGCCAGAGCAGATGCTCTGCACCAAAGGGCTGGTGAGCTAATGCGGCTCACAGTGAGGAAGGGCAGCGGAGAGGGAAGCACAACAGTGAGATGTCAAGCACCAAGGAGTGCTGCTTTGTGTCCCAATAGCCTCTTATTTTCTTAGTTTTACTGGAAATAACCAGAACAGAAATGCTGATCCGGCTAGGTGTGTCAGAAGTGTCTTCTCACAGTTTATAGTTATAGCTGCTTGGTTCAAGTCTGTTTTAGTTTTAGCCTTGAGAAAAGGTAAAACTAAACTAGGGCTTTTCCTTACAACAGCTCAATGGAGAGACCACAGCCTCTGCTTTCACTGTCACTGTGCTGTCCTGCTTGGGCATAGCTCAGCAAGGGATACTTGGCCTTTGCAATGCTGTCAGATTGCTGCAGGTTCCCATCAAATTCAGACACCCCCCAGAAGGCAGGGATGTTTCTTTCACCAGTGATGAAGTCAGAGTATCCCAGGATAGCAGAGATGCACTTTGAAGCTTTTTACTTGTGGGGTTAATAGAGAGAAAAAAAATTCCCTTAAATTAGAAACTGGCAATGTTGTCATGAGGCTGCTCAATCCAGTATGGATGAAAGGCAAAGAAAGGCTTCTGTTGAAGTGGACTTATGCATAGAAATCAGTGACAAGCTTAAAGACAAACCAGGATCTGCAGAACAGGGGAGCATTGAGTGAACGGACGTCATACAAACTGTTCAGGCAATAGTTGAAAAGGTTGAACATCCTAGACATCACAGGACAGCACTACTATGCAAGACACACGCAAATTCTGCTTTCCCACTGCAATTTGGTAACAGTGAATAGTATAACCTGACCAAATCTCAAATGCTGGCTTGTTTTGGAAAGGTTGTCAGAGCTAGGGAGCTCTCTCATAATCTGCTTTCTGACTCACAAGCAGCCGTGTCCCCCATGTAGCCACGTACAGCTGACAACAGCCATCTCTGTGGGTGGTGAGCGGCCAGCATTGCACCCCCAGCGTCTGCAGCTGCCATGGGCTGCTACATTCTTATTTTGCTACAGGAATTTACTTCCCACAACACCTCCTCTGCTGCAGAGACCCCCACAGCACAGCAATGTCATGGGGAAAAGGAGAGGCATGAAGAGAAAGATGCCCTAAACAAGGTCACACACACACACAGATCAGACAAAAGCAGCGCAGGAGTCCTTCATCCTTACTTTCACTATCCCTTGCATATTGGGACCCATATCCTGGTCCTTCCACTCTTAGCCCAGAACTCCCTGTCTGTGAGAAACACCCTCTCCTTTATCCTCCAGAACCAGTCTTTAATTTTTTAATTTAAATCTAGACAGTGCAGTATGTGACACGAGTGATGAAAATAGCAAACTGTGCTGGATTAGAAAGCTGCTTAATTTCAGCAGCTCTCATCCTCTCATTTGACCGACTGCCTCAAAGCTTAGCTGTGCATCACAGCACCAGTGGGACTCCTGACTTTGGTCTGCACCATGTCCCTTGGTGAGACCCAACTGACCACCC